TTGGCACTGCCGTTTTGGTCATCCTGAAGAGTCTAGTATCACACGCATGCAAGCTCATGCAAGTGTTGATGGTCTTATCATCTCCAAGCAACTGTCATCTTCTCATTCATCGTGCCATACTTGTGTTGAAGCTAAGCTCCCTCGTCATCCTTTCTATTCTTCTGAGTCTGAAGTCTCTCAACCACTTGAGCTCATACATAGTGACCTGATGGGTCCTTCCCGTACTCCGAGTCGTACAGGGAAAAAGTATGTGATGTCACTCATTGACCATCATACAAAATTTGCATGGATATCTCTTCTTGGATCCAAAGATGAAGCTCCCAGTGTTATTCAGTCTTGGTTCCCTTATGTTGAGCGTCAGTTGGGTCTCAAGGTCAAGATATTTCGTTCTGATCGTGGAGGAGAGTACATGTCTAACTCATTCCGCTCTTTCCTTACCAACCTTGGAGTTGAGCAGCAATTATCATGCCCAGCAACACCTCAACAAAATGGTACTGCTGAGAGATACAACCGTACGATTCAGGAGATCTCAAGAGGTTTTCTTTCCCACATGAATCTGGATGACTCATGGTGGGGAGAAGCTGTTACCCATGCTGCTTGGGTCAAGAATCGTCGGCTGACAAGCTCCCTTGCTGAGGGTGTTACACCCTATGAGGCATTATACGGCGTAAAGCCAAATGTGTCCATGCTTCGAGTTTTTGGCTGTATGAGTCAGTACAAAGTGCTGGATGACAAACGCAGCAAGTTTGAAAGCAAGGCAGCATGGGGCATGCATCTGGGCATGGCCAAGGAGAGTAAGGGCTGGTTGATGTGAGATCCTCTCTTAAAAAGAGATATTGTGTCAAGGGACGTGATCTTCTATGAAGACATGTCCCCGTCTTCTTGGAAATCTTCTTTCCCTCTTGTTTCCTCTCAAGTTCCTCCCTTCTCTACCTTTGCAGATTTCGAACTTCCAACAATCATTCTAAGTGGAGTTCCTGCATCATCACCGCAGCAGCAACACGAAGATGCGTCTCATGCTCAAGACCAACAACCACCGCCATCATCTTCTGCTCCCACCCCTCATCATCAAGAGCAACAGCAGCGGCAGCCATCATCGCCTCCATCACAACAACGACAACAACCATCTCCACCCGATTTACCTCCTCCTCTTCAATCCCCTCCTACTCACCAGCAGGACCAGCAGCAACAGCAACATCCTCCCGACACTCACTCTCTCCAGCCTTCACTTACACCTCTCGTCGTTTATCGGCCCAGGGGCTATCGTCCAGCAGCCCTTCTTCACCTTCCAGATCATCGTCAACTCATACCATCCACCGTGCAGCCACCACCAACCCAACAGCACACACCTCCCCATATCCAGCAACTCCCTTCGACAATTCCGACTAATAGAGCTTCATCAGAAGCTCATTCTCAACCAGCAGCACCCAACCGGATTGATATCAACTATCCACCAGACATGAGCACGTCAGCACCATCAACATCTTCTACTTCGTCATCTGCGCACTTCACCTCTCATGCGACGTATTCCACTCTTAGCTCACCTCCAAGACATTTGTGTAGCGGCCGCACCTGCTTCCAATGCAGGATCCACGCCACCTGTTTCGCCATTTCCCAACTTCCACCCGAGCCTCTCAATCGCAAAGAAGCTATGGCAGGAGCATTTAAGGAGCAGTGGTTAGCAGCGGAAAAGACAGAAATGGAAAGTTTACTCGACAGGGGGACTTGGACTTTGGAGCCATTACCCAAAGGAAAGAAGCTCGTGGGAGTGAAATGGGTCTATCGGGTGAAGGTGAAGGGTGATGGATCCCTGGACAAGTTCAAGGCCCGTTTGGTCGCCAAGGGATATTCTCAAGTTCCTGGACAAGACTACAATGAAACATTTGCTTCGGTCGCCAAGTACACCAGTGTCCGCGCTCTTCTTGGCATGGCAGTACGAATGGATCTCTACATCATTCAACTGGACGTCTCCAACGCCTTCCTTTACGGCGTTTTGGAGGAGGAGATTTACACGTCTCAACCTGATGGGTATCACGATGGTACTGAGAGAGTCTGCAGGCTGCACAAGTCCCTGTATGGCCTGAAGCAAGCTCCACGGGTTTGGTATCACGCATTAGAGTCTGCCTTGCTGGCACAAGGTTTCACACAGTCTGAGTATGACCCTGCACTCTACATCCTGCACACGAAGGTGCATCAGGTGCTGTGGTTGATCGTGTATGTGGATGACATCCTCATGGTGTCAGGTTCTCTCTCCCTTCTCACCCACATCAAAGGTATGCTCACCAAGGAGTTCGTCATGACAGACATGGGTGAGCCATCATATTACCTTGGCATGAACATCATTCGCGACCGTCCTTCTCGCTCTCTATTTCTTTCCCAAGAGCGATACATTCACAAGGTCCTCTCTCGCTTCGGCCTTCTCACCTGCAATCCTGCATCTACACCTCTCCCTTCTATTTTTCAGCCCTCTCAGACTGAACCCTTTTCTGACTGGGACGAGTTCCACGAGGCTCTTGCACCTTCATCCTCTTCATCCCCTTCTTCTTCCAATGCACCTCCTTCATCACTCCTTTCCCCTCTCGACATTAATCTTTACCAGAGCATTGTCGGTAGCCTCATGTACGCATCCGTCTGCACCCGCCCAGATCTCTCTCATGCTGTGGGCGTGCTTTCTCAGTTCCTTTCCGCGCCATCTACTCAGCACTTGAACGCTGCGAAACGTGTCCTGCGCTACCTCTCCGGATCTAAATCTTTTGGTCTCTTCTTTCATGGACATGAGCATGGTAGTGTCTTGCATGGTTTCACGGATGCGGATTGGGCAGGTCCTCTTTCAAAGCGGAAGTCCACTGGAGGCTACATGTTTGTGATAGCGGGAGCAGCTGTTTCTTGGCAATCGAAGAAGCAAGGCTGTGTGGCATTATCTTCAACGGAGGCGGAGTACATGGCTGTGACGCAAGGAGCACGGGAGGCTGTGTGGTTGAGAGGGTTGCTGACGGAGTTGAGTCTTCCCCAGCATGAGCCGACCATTCTGCACATTGACAACACATCGGCGATCGCCTTGAGCAAGAACCCGGTCTATCATGGACGCACAAAGCACATTGATACCCAGTATCACTACATTCGAGAGCTGATTAAGAACAAAGTTGTGACACCGGCCTACTGCAGCACCACGGACCAGGCTGCTGACTTCCTGACTAAGATCCTCCCCCGGCACCTCTTTCTTCTTGGCCGCCACTGCGCCGGATTGCTGCCGATCGAGTCTCTTAAGTGCTTCTCCACTGCTGTCCCTTCCGCTCCTTCTTCTCGCTCTGAGGGTCAGCAGTGCGGGGGGGTGTTGGAATGAACTGCTGCTGCTGCTCGCGTGGCACCAGGGTGGCGGGAAAAAATTCACGTGGCGAAAATTTTCGCCACAGTTTCCCCGTCAGCCAAAATTCGAATCTGCAAAGGGCATCTCCCAACATTACCCATTCGCCACTTCATCATCCTTATCTCCAGTCAGCAAGGCACACTTCCATTTTCACCCAATACAAATCCTTCAATCTTCCACCTCATATCTTCTCCAATCCTCCTCAACCTTCTCCTCCACCAATCAATCCAAAGATTCCCTACCAAGCCTTAAATCAAAGCCCCATTCATTCCAATCACCAAGCCTTAATTTCAAGGCCACATTCATTCCACTCACCAAGCCTTAAATTCAAGGCCACATTCATCACCCCCACCTTATCCAACTTAACCAATCACAATCATTCATCTCCTCCTCTTCTTCATCCAACCTCAAGCTCCACCAAATACAAAACAAAGGGTCCACCCCATTCTTCAAACATAATTTTCAAGCAAGTTTTTACCTAAGCTCTGCACAAGTTCTACTCCAAGCTCTCACAAGGCCACTTCAAAGTCCTCCTCCTCATGCCCAACTCCTAAGGCTCCACTCACCACCAACCTCTCCCAATCCAAGCTCATAGCCATGTTCTCCAACTCTAGAGAAGTTTATGCTTCATAGTCTTTCTACTAGATTGTTATCAATGGTTGCTCTCTAAGTCCATCATGTACCTCCTTTGGACCAGTGCATTTTATGTTTTGAGGCCTCAACATCAACATTTGACTTTCTTCTAATCAAGACTCAAGCTTCACCTTCAACACTCAAGCTTGGAGGTTCTTCCCTACACAATAAACAAGATCTACACCTCAACACTCAAGCTTGGAGGTGCTTCTCGACTCAACAATCAAGCTTGGATCTCACTCTCCTTCCAACAATCAAGATTCACAATTCAAGCTTGGCTTCTTCAAGTTGCAAAGCTCCTTCAAAATGACAAGTAAAACTCTTTAAGGTAAGTCACCTCCTCATTTCACTCTTGTCAAGTTTCTCAATTAAAGCTTCCCTATTCAAAGCCTCTTCATTCTTATCAAGTCTCCTTTCTTCTCAAATCTTAGTTTCCATGATCAAGTTTGTTTATTTTTTCAAGCTCTTTTACCTTCTCATCAATCACCCATTCAATATCTTTCTTTCAATCAATTGTTCTCTCCCTTTAATGTCTTCGTCATCTTCCTTTCAAGTTTGTTATTTTTATCCTTAACCTTATTAGCCTTTACGTTCTTACTCAATCTCTTCTTCATAGGTTTCTTTATCTTATCAATTTTGTCTTACGTCACTCTTAAAGCGACGGTGCACATTTGCCACCCAAAACCCAGAACCCTGGCGAACTGTTACTGCGGATGGAAAGTGTCCGCACGAAATCCTGGTTTTCGCCAGCCAGCACTTTCGCGCTGGCAAGCCTGGTTAAAAAAAAAAACTTCTGAACCCAACACTGCCAAAAGTTGCCCGTCGCTTTAACTCTTTCTTCTAGGAGTTTTCTTTCTCTCCACTTGCTATTTACCCTTCCTAATCCTTTCACTTTTCAAGAGTCAGTGCGCCAGGGGTCTTCACTTCGCTTTCTATCCCGCCTCGCTTTTATCTCCCCCCGTCCCTCGTTCAGCCATCGCGTGCGATCGTTCAGGGCAGGATGGCTGAACGGATGATCTCGACGCATTCCGCCATTCACTCGAGCGCCGACGATCGTAACGACGGCGCTACTAGCATTGCCGCCTCCTCTCGAAACGATGGCGATATGTTCGCCGCTCCTCCCGACGTCCACGCCTCTCCATCCGAGCCGCTGCTTGGCAACAGCAGATCTTCCGCCGCCGCCTCTACCTCACCACTAGTTAAGAGATCCGCGGCTGGTGCTGGTACTAGCGCTTACGCGCCAATCGAAAGCGGCCACGTGGCAGCTACGAGCACCAGCGTGCCAATGAAAGAGGTCCACGTGGATCTGTACATCCGCGGGCGGGGCAAAGGCGGCAAGGGGAAGGGGCCGGCGTGTTCGTTCGCGGCGCAGCTGCTGGGGTGGCACGCGGACCGCCTCGACGTGGCGGCGATTAAGAGGCGACACGGGCTCAAGGCGCTGTTCGCGTTCTCATCGGCCGGCGCGCGCGGGTTAGAGCTGGTAGCGAATCCGCGGAACGGACTGTCGCTGACGACCTACACGGGCAAGCCCGGAAGTCGAATCACCCTTGATGGGGAACCAAAGGTGGGCGATTGTGAGGGCAGGAGAGGTGCAGAGGGGTGAGGGGTGCTGGGGGACGCGGGGATTGTGGGGGTTAAGACGAGGACGAGAGGGGGCGTGGGCTAGGGCTGGCGGGAACACGCGGAACGGGTTATTGCTGACGACCTACACGGGCAAGCCAGGCAGCCGAATCACGCTTGCTGGGGAGGCCCAGGTGGGCGATCGTGAGGACAGGGGGGTAGGGGGGGTGCTGCGGGGTATGGGGGGGTGTAGGGGGGTAGGGGATGCAGGGTGCTGGCGGGTGCTGGGGGATGGGGGGGGGAGGTGGGGGGAGATGGGGGGTTGGGGGGGGGGGGGGGTGTGGGTGTGCGGAGTGGCATTCGGAGCTGCTGTGGAACCCCAGCAGCGAATCGACAGTTGATGTTGGCTCACACAGGTTGTTGCTGGCAACGTACACGGGTTTGAGAGCGCATGGGGATGCGGGATGCTGTGTTGTGCTGCAGGGTGGTGCTGAGTTGGACGAAGATTGGTGCTGACGACTTATAGCAGTAAGGCGGGCAGCAACATTACACTCTATGGGGTACCCAGGTGGGCCTCGGGAGGTGGGAGGGGGAAGAAGTTGGGAGGATCCGAGGTAGCCCTTGGTGGAGTGGAGGGGGTGGGGGGAGAGAGGCGAAGCCAAGGTGGATCGTTGAGGGGGAGTGGGTGAAGGCCAGGTTAGTGGGGGGAGGGGGAGTGAGTTAAGGCCAGGTGAGTGGGGGGAGGGGGAGTGAGTTAAGGCCAGGTGAGTGGGGGGAGGGGGAGTGAGTGAAGGCCAGGCCGCCAGGTGAGTGGGGGGGGTCAGGAGGAGCGGAGAGGGTTGAAGTCAGCCTGTTTCCCTCTCCGCCTCTCCCCCTCTTGCCTTGCTCCCCTTTTTCCCCATCTTCTCCTCTCCTCTCCCCCCCTTACCCCTGTTCCCTTGTCCCTCCTCTCCCTCCCCTTCCTTCCCGCCAGGAGCCTTTCTAAATCGGTCCCTGGTGACAGCAGGAAGCCTCCACGTCTCCCTTGGTCTGCCTCTCATTCCCATCCCCCACTCTCTCTCTCTTTCCGCCTCCTCCCCTTGTCCCCCCTCACTCATTCTCCTTCCCACCAGGAGCCCTTCTTAAGTCACTCCCTGGTGGCAGCAGGGGGTCTCCTCTTCTCCCTCGGTCTGCTGCTACTTCTCGTCTCCCACAACCCCCACTTTGCCAGCCTGCTTGCAACGCATAACAACGCCCCATCCTCGCCAGTTATGCTCTTTGGTGTAGGGGTGTTTGTGCTTATATTCTGGAAAAAGTTCACTGAATGGTACAAATAGACTTGTAAAACGACTTGTCACGGGGACTACCAGTGCCATGTTCTGCCATGTTATTAGACACTACGAGTTATAGTGTCTAATAATTGTATCATATTCTGTCGTGTATTTGGGCGCTAGCCATTCATAACCGCACACCTCATGATTCCCTGGGTACTGTTTGTTGGGCTGAAAAAAAAGGCCTTAGGATCGTTTCAAGACTAAACTCTCCGAGTGGTGATGTATTTAGCGGAAGCGTAATATTGGATTAATTGAACCACCTTGTACTACCGTATGGCCCCGGATATAGGCGCCGTCCGATTAAAGGCGCCGGCGCCTCTATCTGGAGCATGGCGCTTATGGCCAGAACTCGGTTATAAGCGCACCCCCTGAAAATTCTATCCTTATTATAAGCGCATCCTTTACCCTTTCATTGGAGGCATTACAAAAGATTTTACTAAATTGTCACTTTTTCTAAGCAACATCAAATTAAGCTAGATCTCCTAACAACAAGTTTAGCCAGGGTACTTCTACCTACGGTAACATGGATCATACAGTACCCCTCCTACTCCTCGTCAGATTCGGGCTCCTGGCAGTTGTTGCCAAAAAAGCCATCAGCGATGATGTCATCGTCGACATCCACTTCAGCTGTCAGCTGGCTCCGCCTGTGCGCCATGGCGAGTCCGTCCTCACTGCCGTCAAGCTGGTTGCTGATGCCACAGGTGAGGAAGGCATGCTTGATGAGGTCGGCCGGCACTGCCTTCCAGGCTTGTGATACCCACCGCAGGACGACCTCTGGTGAAGGCTTCTTCAGGTTCCCTGAAACATTACGGGAGAACGGTGGAAAGCAGTTAGTGCAACAACAAAGAATTCGGGGGGGGGGGGGGGGGGGGGGGAATACCGTACTCATGCCATACCTGCTGCCGTCAGCTGCTCTTGCCCCTCTGCCTCAAACCACCTCTGGTACTGCTGGCGGACCGACGCCTTAAAGCTCTTGTTGATGCAGACATCGAGCGGCTGTACCTCCGCCGTACAGCCCGACGGGATGATCGCCGGCACGCAGTTCATCTCGCAGAGCTTCTCCTTCACCTCCTCGGTGAGGTGACCGCGGTAAGAATCCAGCACCAGCATCGAGCTCTTGGCGTGTCTGCCGAACCGAGGCTTCAGGAACGGCTTCACGCCCTCCTCAAGCCAGCGAACGACGCCAGGGGAGTCCATCCACCCGTTCTCGTGGCAAGCCACGGCCACATCTGCATGAAACACGCACGGGTGGTTAGAATTCGAACTCTGAAAAGAACGCAGTGACCGAGCCGTGCACCTCTTTACTTACCGGCAGGGAAATCGCCCTTCGACAAGGTTTTGCGCTTGAAGAACACCCACGGCTTCAGCTTCCTTCCGTCCGCCGTGCACGCCAACATAACGGTCACTCTCTGCTTCTGATACCCCGCGCTCCTGATAGGCACCGAGCGAACACCCGTTTCCTCCACGGTGGTGGTGGCGGGCATCTCCAGCCAGAGCGGCGTCTGGTCCGCGTTGATGATCCACGCGGTGTCGATGCCGCACTCACGACGCTTGGCACGCACGAACTGCCAGAAGCTCTTGCACTGATCAGCGACATATGCACGGCGGTGGAAGAGACGTCGGAGACAGACGGAGGGCGTTAGTACAATTAAAGAAAATCAACGTGCCAAATTGAACGGGGTAATTCTCACGCGCTGCGGTTTTCTGGGCAACCCGGGTCTTCATGCGGACGCTCAGATTCCATCGCCGCCGAAAGCGCTCCGACCACCTCTGGCTTCCTTTCCACTTCTTGTCCGGGTACAGAAGCTTCATGAACTCCCGCGACCACTCCTGCAAGCGGCCGACTGACACGGCGGTTCCCTTGCGGCGCCACTCGAGTAGCTTCTCGTACACCTTCAACTCCATCGGCCGGTACCACGACGCTCGCCCGCGGCCGTGCATGCGCTTCCGAGCGGAGTGAACATCCTTGAGGAATTCCGCCGTCCGCTTCCAGTTGGTGAGACACTTCCGGTGGATTCCGCTCTCGCGAGCCAAGGCGCGCACCGACACCGCCAAGTCCATCAGAGCAACCCACTTCAACTTCTCCGCGGCGGTGTAACCTTGCCGCTTGTGGTCGGTGAGCTTGTGCCTGGGAGAGGGGGGGCGGGCATCACGGTTCTGTGAAGAGGGGTGGGGTCGCTTGCGATTATTCGGAGGATAGGTTGGTACGGGCAGTTTCTCGGGTAGCCCGTCGCGTGACCAGTACTCAACGCCGTCGTCGTCAGCGTCGCCCGTAACACCTTCTGGAAACACATCGTCAGCGGTGCCGCCCTGGGCGCCGCCCACGGCGGAAGCCTCCGTGCCACCCTCGGCGCCGTCAGCGCCGCTCGCTTCCTCCGCAACATCATCGTCGGCGCCGACCGCAGATTCGTCCCAAGGGCAATTGTCGGGCTGTCCCCAACGTCCTCCAGGAAAGTGTTCCACTTCCACGTACTCATCTTGCGCCTTGTTAGACTCCGGTTCGGAGAGGTATTCGTCGAACGCCGATGGGAGCAGTAGCGTGAGCACGGGCTGATTGACAGTGAGTTGCGGAGACACAGGACCCAGAGGCGGAGGAGCAGGAGGAACAGGAGGCGCAGGAGGTGCAGGAGGCGAAGGAGGAGCAGGAGGCGCAGGAGGCGCAGGAGGCCGTGGTGGCTCTGGTGGTTCTGGTGGGATACGGGAGTACCACCCGTCAGCGTCTACTCTAAACGCGGGCCTTCGCATAGGCTTTTTCTTGAACAAGAAGTGGGTGCCGCTGAATTCCGCCATGGCGGCGGCATTCAGGCGAGAACTACCAAGAAACCGAACGAGAAACTGAGAGAGATGGAGAACAAATGAGAGATTCAAAGGGACCCCTTCTGGTTAGCGCCTCGGGATCCTCGTCGGGGAGAGACGGGTACCCCCTGTCTGAACCCGGAGAGGAGGTTATCGCGGCACGAAGATGCTGCGCTGGCAGGGCATTCCAGCCCCTTCTCGATGGTTCGGGTGAAATGCAGCTGCCTGCCAGCGCATGAAAGCCTGATTGGGCCGCAAGGCAACTTTCACGTCAGCGCTGGCAGGTGTGCTGCTCGTGGACGGGATTTGTGCGGTCGGGAATCGAAGCGCAGCAGTTTTCGGCGGGATTACATGCATTATCCCACGCGCACGTTACTCAATTGTGTTCGCCTTATTGCGGGCTTCGATTTGGTACATAAAAATAACAAATTCATTTTTGCCATGATATAAGCGCCGGCGCTTATGGCCCTTATTCAATTACAAGCGCCACCCCTAAAAAAAAAGATTTTATTATAGGCGCATATGCGCCTATATCCGGGGTAATACGGTATTATGTGAGAACAAGATGAATTGATTATAGAAAAGAGATACCGGTACAAGGTTTTATATGATTACAAGGAATACGAAAGGTTTAACTGTATCTGCTGTTGCGGTTCGATACAGCGACGACTCGGGTAACTGCTCAATAGCGAGTCAGTTATTTGTCCTTGCTGTCGCGCTGCCTTTGTCAAGTCAAAGGTCGCTGACCTTTGACCTTCGCTTCAACCTCCTGCGGTTGTCGCATTGTCAACCGCTTTGGTTGACTTGGAGTTGCTTCGCTGTGAATATGCCTTTCTTTTTTTATAGTGCTCGATACTTCAGAAGCGTAAACTAAATGTTTCCAACACTCCCCTTCGCTTCTAGAGTGTCATCGCCTTCGTTGCTGATGACGTGGCCCTGTCCAGTCAGCAGCATGCAGTACTCGAACTTTTGCTTTCCAAGTTTCTTGGTCAGGTAATCTGCTGCCATCTCGGACGTGGGGCAGTAGGATAGCTCGAGTCTCCCTTTCTCGATCTTGTCCTTCACGAAGAAGTAGCTGTCAGAATATTATGTTTCTCTAGTCTGCAGTGGGGTACTCTGTAGTGAGTACAACCCTGTTAGGGTTTTCTATATGTATCCCAATGCTTTCTAGTGCAATCATCCTCACTCATTTCATCCTCGATTCTCACAGTAGCGTAGGGCAATGTGCTTCGTTCGATTCGCGAACCCGCTCTTGTTCGCTATGCGAATTGCAGATTGGTTGTCGCAGAAGAGGGAGAAGCTGGGTAACTGGGCCAGCTTTGCTTCTTCCTGTAGTTCGCGAAGGTACAGTCTTTCCTTGGTGGCTGAGCAAAGTGCTATGTATTCGGCTTCAGCAGAGGAGAGAGCAATTAGTTCTTGCTTGCTCGACTGCCACGAGATAGGACTGACGGGCTCAAGTAGATAGATGTAGCCGGTGCGCGATCGCCTGTTGTCAAATTCGCCTGCGTAGTCAGCGTCCACGTAGCCGATTAGCTTTGGAATATTGGTTCCGGTCTTGTGGTAGGTTAGGCCGATTGTAGGTGTGTTGACGAGGTAGTGTAATGCGCGGTCGAGTTCCGCCATGTGTTCTGCTTCGGGCCGTTTGAGATAGCTGGCAAGATGGCTCGCCGAGTACGACAGGTCCGGTTGGTAGGTAACGGCTGCGAAGAGTAAGCATCCAAGTTTCCGCTGGTAGTCGCGTAGTCCGGCGTCCGAGCGGGTTAGACTTTTCCTGGTGATTTCCGACGGTGTAGCGGTAGGGCGTGGATATAACGGCTGACGATAATCCGAAGCGTTTGGCGATTGTGTCGGCGTATTTTGCGGCGCTGAGGTAGATCGCGTTCTCTCCGTCGAGTATGTTGAGTCCCAGGTACTGAGTTACGGTGGAAGAGACCGTGAGTGAGAGATCCCGTTGTAGCTCCCCTTCAAACCAGGTGGTGATGTCGTCGGTGGAGCCTATGTAGAGCAGGTCGTCTACGTACACGATTAGCAGGATGTATTCGGCTTCCTTCGTGAGTCTGTACATGCCCTGGTCGTGTGGTAGTTGCTGAAAGCCGATGTGGGCATGTAGGTACTGCTGCCATAGCCGTGGAGCTTGCTTGATGCTGTACATGGACTTCAGCAGCTGACAGGCTTGATTAGGGTCTGTGTTGGATCCGTGTGGTTGC